GCTCTAAGCCTTCTGGCAGCTAACAAAAAGAGAAATAATGTGATAACTTAGCCAATTCACAGTTTCTGCTCAGTAGAAAAAAAAAATCGGTCCCACAGAATTACTAAAATTCTTAATGCTAAGACCAAAGGACATCTCTTGGCTCCTCATTAAAAAGGACATCTTGTTCTCTATGACACTGTGCTCATCGGTGCCCAGCCGTGAATAGCAGGGCTCTGCATCTCTAACATGTTGTTCCAGGACTGTGGCATCGTGTCCAGCGACCTATAGTGAAAAGTCCTTCACTGGGAGGCATTGGGAGGAATCCAGGTGTTTGGCTCTGCTCCCTGCTGGTTGGGCTAAATCCAGGGGTAGATTTTTATTCTTGTTTTTTTTGTTTGTTTGTTTTTATTATATAGGTATTACATCCGTGAAGTTAAAAAAAAATTCAAATACTACCAAAGGGAACAAAATATACAGCTGATGTCTCTCCCCCTTCCCGTTCTACACCCCAGTTTTATTCCCTGGAAAGAATCATCTTTGACTGTTTAGGTTTTAGATTCTTCAGAGAAGTCACTTCTGCATCTCCAACTGTGTATACACTGTTTCATTCAAGTCTGATGAAAGGAGGAAATTAGCTCACCTATACTGCTCACTATATTCCCTTCGTTTTCCAGCCTTTTCATTATTATCTGTTTTTCTATGATTGCTTGTATAATTTTTTTTTTTTGCTGAGGGAGATTCTCCCTGAGTTAACAACTGTTGGCAGTCTTCCTCTTTTTGCTTGACGATGATTTGCCCTGAGCTAACATCTGTGCCAGTCTTCATCTATTTTGTATCTGGTTCACCACCACAGCGTGGCTGACGAGTGGTGTAGGTCTGTGCCTGGGAACCAAACCCGGGCCACCAAAGCAGAGCACGCTGAACTTAACCACTAGGCCACCAGGCCAGCCCCTATCACTAATATAATTTTAATCTGCTTAAGCTTCTATCTGTTGGACCATTAGTATAGGATAGTTTTTCCTGGTTCCTAACTACATAGGGTAAATGTTTTGGTATCTCTGTTTGTCCTACTTTTCAGCCTCTGCCTACCATCATAACATTACTTTTATAATGTTTACAGAATAATATTTATAGTCTGTTCTATAATAGCAATTAAATTGTCCATGCTTTGTCTACTGGTAGATTCTAAAAGTAAATTTATAAACAGTGTTTACAATAAGAACTAAGAATTGTAATGGGGTCAGGGAAAAGGAAATGTAATCTGGACCATGATGGTGCTGTTTAAAGGAGAATATTCAAAATACCACAGTCAAAAGAATCTCTTTTCATTTATTCATTGACTCAGCAAATATTTGTTGAGCCCCTATTTTGGGTCAGGTATTGTTCTGGGTACTTTGGATACATTAATGAAAAATGCCCTGCCCTCACAGAGCTTAGAGTCTATTGGAGGAGACAGACCATAAACAACAAATTTAACAAATAAGTAAACTATATATAGAAGTAATATATGCTATGGAAAAAATTAAAGCTTGGGAGAAATAGGAGGAGGGACGTGGGGCAGGAGGCAGTTGTAGTTTTAAGTCAGTGTAGGCCTCACTGAGAAGAGGATATGGGGGCTAAGATTTGAGGGAAGAGGGCTCTAGGCAAAGGGAACCTCCAGCGTGAAGGCCTCAAGCATAAGCTTGCTTGGAGTGGAGTGAGGAGGGGTAGCAGTAGGAGGCAAGTGCAGAGAGGTCATGGGGGCCAGATCAGGTAGGGCTTTGTAGGTCAGAGTAAGGACTTTGGGTTTACTCTGAGTGAGATGGGAAATCCTTGGACGGTTTTGAGCAGAGGAGGAGTATAATCTGTTCTTTGTTTTGGAAGGAACCCTCTGATTATTGAAGTAAGGGGGCGAGGGTGTAAGCGGGGAGACTTTTCAGTACATTGTAATAATCCTCACCGGAGAAGATGGTGGCCTGCAGAGTGGGCTAGCAGTGAGGGGATTCTGGATCTATTCTGAAGGTAGAACCAACAGGCTTTCATGACACATTGGATTTGGGGTGTGAGTAAGAAGGGAGTCAAGGATGATTCTGAGGTATTTGGCCTGAGCAAGTGGAGATGGTCTCTATGCGTCACTGAAAATCAGGCACACTGTAATTTACTCCGTATTTATGCACCTTTTTTTCCTTGAGTTTCTGATTGCCTTTTTTTCCTTGTTGACAAAGAAGCCATAGCTTTACCTGTAGCTAAGATCAGCCAACTTCTTAATCAGTGTATTTACTAACATGAATTCACTGCCTTCTTGAGGACACTCTTGACTGAAGCCTCTTTCTGTTCCAGTGTGAGCTCATTGCTTCTTACACCTGTGGCACCCCTAATGTGCTGGGATTTCTTTCATTGCATTCTTTCTGGGCTGGTCTTACCATTTCTTAGATTCTACGTATCCTTCCTTCCTAAATTCCTTTGGAGTTTTACAGTGGTTCTTAGCCCCTTTTTCACTTTGGTGTCCTTCGGGGTTATGATACATTCCCATCAGTGACAGTACTCTTAATAGATATTGGAGCATACTGTTTGTTATATGGATTCTCAGTCCCTTATCCATATCTCTGAAATCTAAAAAAACACTGAAAATGAGTTTTTTTCTTTTCAAGTGTGGATACAAACCTTATTTGGAAGCAAAACATGACCTGAACTGAGTTAAGGCTATTTATAGTCTTTATTGATCCCACTTATGTGAATATTCTTGAGTTTTGCTGCAGACATTAAATTGTTTGATTATATGGTGTTGCTCTAGATTTCACTGGGGTTCTACATAATACATAGTGTATGCCCCGTAGGTACATTAAGGTGCAAACTTCTAGAGAATTCTTAATTCTGAAACATGCCTGGCCCCAAATGGTTTGGATAAGGGGTTAAGGATGTATGATGTTCTCTGGTAAGTACTTGAGTGTAGCTTTTAAGTGCAGAGCCATGAACCATAATTGTGGGCGAAGCTGGGGACAGGGGTTTGTATGACTAAAGACTGACCAGACTCCTAGCAGTGCATCACATTATAGGAGAAATGTCATAGCCACAGGGCACTGAATTATCCAAAAATCTTTTTTGTTTGGATTTGGAATGTGTTCTCTGTTTGGGGTTCCTCCCCACAAAGTTTCTGGCTAGCTGCATTTTAGACTAGTACTACTTTATGTCTGCGGTGCTTTAGTACATCCTAGCTGCTGTGGTGGTGGCTGGGCAGCATGATCTGAGGAGCGCTCTTGCCTCCTGAGGGCATGATTATCTTTCAGGCTGTCTTCTGTACGTGTCCAACTGGGGCCTTGTTCTCCTTGTTGATCCTTCTTTCTTGAGGGTTCCATGAGCTTCTACCCTCCATCCCAGACTGTTCTTAAGCCCAGTTTACTGCAGGGTCTTATGTTCAGAGGTCCGTAAATGAGATTTTAGGCTTATCACTGAGTTCATTTCAACAACACACGTTTACTAGACACCTGTGTGCAGAGCGCTTATACACCCATTTTATTATATAATCTTCACAACAACTTTTGAAAAGACAGGATAGAGATTGTCCCTCATTTTCTGATGAGAGTGTTGGACCAGAGGGACCAGGTGGCTTGCCAGAGTAGGTGATAGAGCTGGAATTTACACCCTGGTTTAATGCACTCTCTTCCAAACTGTTAGTAGTGGAGGAGGAAACAGTACACTTAACACTTAAAAACTAAAGGAATGAAACTAATCACCTGTAATGACAAGTGGGCATGTTAAAATCTTAGGCTAGGAGACCTGCCTGGTGACCTCTGCAATTGTCGTTTTCCCTGATTTTGAGAAAGTCAGAGGATCCAACCTGAGCTCTAGGGAGAACCCAAATGAGGACTGGTGGGTTTCTGCGAGAAGTCTTCCTGACTTTTGTCTCCTGCCCCTAGCCTGCCTGTGTTTTGCCCACATCTCCACCCCCACCCCTCACTCCTGGCAGTATTAGTGCCTTCAGCTGTTTGCATATGCTGTAATTTCTGAGAGGCGGGTTTAAGAGGGTTGTAAACCCTGAGATGACCCGAGAGATTCTTTCCTCAGGGCCTTTATGAACTGGGAGAGTAGGCTGTCCCTGAGGAGTGGCCAGGGAGAACCTTATCTGAAGGTAGAGGGTTAAGCTGGATGGTGTTGGGAGTCCCAGCCTCTTGTTTTTAGGCTACTCAATGGTTCTGAGCAATCAGTACTCTATGCACACCCATAGACCTGTAGCCACTAGAGGGAGCTTTCCTCCTACTGAACCAAAATGTAATTATGAGGAAAGGTGGCCCCACATGTATAGTTAAGACCTGCGCTGAGCAAGGACACAAAACTGGAGTTGGTAACCATCTTCATATGCTAAGCTTCGAGTTTGGGAAGCAGGGCCAGTTAAGCACCCTTCCCCGTACAAGTTTCAAAGAAACAAGGCACAAGAGTCTGATGGAAATCAAAATAAAAAGTAAAGCTTATCAGAGAGAGAGCCTTAGATATGTTGCCAAATGGGTTTGTTAGTACTTCCTTAGCAGACTGTCCCATTCAAGGCCCAGGAAGAGCGGGACAGCCTCAGGCATCCCCCATGGGGCAGGCTACACATCTTACAGCAGAAAAGATGCATGTGTCCCAAAGACAGGCTGCTCAGGAAGGAGGAACCACAGGAACAGCTGAGAGCCACATGGCGATTTCCTTCTACATCTTGGACCTTTTGGAGAAATCACCTCCCCTGTTTCTGCTGGGGGTGAATGTGTTCCCCCATATGCTTCCCTCCTGGGAGATGGATGCTCCCTCCTCTGAATGTGTGCAGTGGGGTATCAGTCTTCCTCTCTGCGTGTTTTTTTCTCTTAACATATTGGACTTGACATTTGATCTTATGATCAGTGGAGCTGGGAGTGTGACTGTTTCCCTCAGCAGTTTTAACCTTGGTCCCACCTTATGAAGCTACGTGGGTATAAACATGGTTTCGTAATGTGTTCTTCGGGGACCATTCCCTAGGGAGCTGTTCAGCTTTTGTCCCTAGATTACCTAGTTCCTGCCAAGACTGAGGGGGTGAACTCTACTAAGGGGAGCACAGGGGAGACAATAATGGCTCTCACCCACGCCCAAGTTAGGTGTCTGTCTTCTGGGAAGGATTATGGAACTGCAGAAAGATAAAGATGGACAAGATTTCTTTAAACAAAGAACACTTTTGATAGACCCAAAACTTGCTAAATTTGAAGCATCTAGGAAAACCTGGTAACCTTGTTCACCAGGGCCTTCATTTATTAGAAAAGAGCCCTGTGCTTGTAAACAAGGCCACACTAGCTGCTGTAACTGACTAAGATTTTTTAAAGTGTCTTAGATGGGGATGTAACCTAAACTATCCGTGTAGGCTGAGCCAGAAGACCCTATTTCTCTCTGTGGCCCCTTAAGACCATGCCTGGTGACTGTTCCTCAAGGTTCCCAGTCCATGTACCATGGCTTTGTGGTTTAGCAGACCCACTAAATCATCTCCTTTCTCTCTTGAATCTAGTCCAGTTAAGATATAAGAAACAGAAACCAGACAGTTGGAGATCAAATATCAGCTGATAAAGAAGGAGGCTTAAATCTGTGATGAAATGGACTTGCACACCAGTCCCTCTATCACTCCTGCCATAAAACTGTCTCACCCAGGCCCAGGCTGAGCTGAGAAACCGCCCCAGTAGGGGGAAGCTGCTTACCTCCTGACCAAGAGAGAAGAATGCTCTGGGACCTCAGGGAGCCCAGTTCCTCCCCTTCTCCCAGCCATTTCATAGGAGGAGGACTGAGACAAGGTGTTGGAGACAGATCGCAGTGTCCCTCACGAGAAGCGAAAAATTTCTTTTCTCTGGAAAAAAGAGTGAGGATACACGGTTCCCCCCAATCTAGGGTTAATTTTAGAGTATCAACAAAATTAAAGGCAATTTTTTATTTTAAAGATTTTATTTATTTATTTTCCCCTCAAAGCCCCAGTAGATAGTTGTATGTCATAGCTGCACATCCTTCTAGTTGCTGTATGTGGGACACGGCCTCAGCATGGCCGGAGAAGTAGTGCGTGGGTGTGCGCCCGGGATCCGAACCCGGGCCACCAGCGGCGGAGCACGCGCACTTAACCGCTAAGCCACGGCCCCAATTTTTTATTTTAAAAATACTTTTGTGCCAGAGTAGAGAACTCTAAATTTTTTTTGAGAATGAGGCTGCATGATTTGACTTAATATTCTGGGCTCCTGGCACATGGTCTGGTAATTACTTGTTGCCTGAATAATATTTAGAACAATTTTTTTGATGTGTAGCCTAGTTGTTCCCAAACTTTTAGAAAAAGTAGGTCAGTAAACTGAAATGTAAAAGAATGTGGGGTGCTGATGACTTTTTATTTCACCATGTAAGGATGTTAAAAAGTAATTACAACCTCTAACATCACTATAATTTCATAAGGAAACAAAGTATTTTAATGTAAAAAAGTAGGAAGAATACAATCTTAGAATAAAGGATGAAGACAGTTTTGTGACCTTGCGTGCACACACACACATCTAAATTGTGTTTATTTTTCTCATTTTGCAGTCAGCCAGGAGAAACTTGGCCATAGTCTGGCACTGGTCTGGCGCTGAAAAGCCCTGGATTCTTCTGGGATGTTGCCCAGACTTGAGAGGCTGGAGGACCACTTAATTTGTTCTCACTCTTTGCTTGTTGCTTTTTCCAAACAGAGCTCTATCAGAAAAAATCGTCTCAGTCCTGCCAAGGATGAAGTGTCCCCACCAGCTGGAGCCCCACCAGATCCAGGGGATGGATTTTATTCACATATTTCCTGTTGTTCAGGTGAGGGCCTCTGTGTGGTGTCTTGTCCTCTGAACATCAGAATTCCTGTAACAGGTCTGGCTCTTGGGCCATCTGACCCGGATCCTGGGTGTGATATGGATCTGCTGGCAGCAGAACATGATGACATTTCCTGATGTCATCCTCAAAACATCGCTGGTACTCCATCCACCCTAGTTTCACAGTGTCACCTGTTATGATCTTGGAACGTTACCATGAGTCACTGTTCATTGCCTTTTTGGTAAAGATAGAACTCCATAGCCCCCCATGCTCTGGTTTCTTCTCACCTATCCAGCCTTGTTTTATTCCTTACTTTTCTTTGTTCTTTCTCTCAGGCTGGAAAGCTCTTCTCTTCTCTTCTTCTCTTACCTGCTTAATTCATGTTCATCATTCAGATCTCGGTTCTACCAAACCTCAAGAAAGCTTCCCCTGATCCTCTAATCTAGAACAGGTTCCTTAGCTCTGTCTATTCATATGGCCACATTCCTTTCCTTCACGGGAAACTTCCTTACTGCAGTTTGTAACCATGTATGTTCAAATGTTTGATTATTTACCTGTCTCTCCCATCAGACTGTAAGCTTCATGAGGGCAGGCACCACGGCTGTCCTCCTCACTGTTGTGACTCCAGCTCCTTACAGAATGTCTGGCACTTTGTAGGCATTTAGTCCTTATTTGATGACTAAATGTCTGATGGGAGACTTATCTCCATCCTGCTTTTCCCCAAGGCTCTGTGATTAAGTGGCTTGTGCTGTAAAGCTCCCTCTATTCTGTGTGGTTCTTGTCTCAGCCTGCCCTCTAGGCACCTTGAAAAGAAAAGGAGCAAAGGAACTCACTTTATGGCCTGCTCTGTGAACAGTACTTTGCATCTGATCCGGATAGCATTCTTTGAAGCATCTGTTATCCCAGTCTTACATCTAAGGAAAGTGAGACTCAGAAAGGTTAATTGATTTGCTTAAGGGCAGAGAACTAGTGAGTGGAGAAGCAAAGATTCCAGTCTAAACTCCCTGTCTCCAGGCTTTGGACTTTTCCCACTCCACCATTCATGCAGCCACTGAGAAAGAAGCTGTGCATCCCTTGCTAGAAAAGTCTTCTAATTCTGTGTTAAGATTATATAGCGTAGGGGCTAGGGGCATGGACCCCAGAGACTTCCTGAGTTGAAGTCTTGGCTCTGCCCCTTTCTGGCTGTGTGACCTTGGGCAAATGACTTAACTTCTCATCTGTTAAATAGAAATAATAATAGTACCTACCTAATAGGATGAGAATTAAGTTAATATGTGTAAAGCACTTAGCTGAAGGACCAGCATATTTTAGTAAGTGCTTTATAAATGTTATATAGCTGTTTCTATTGTTGTTACTGTTATTGGGAATCTTCCCCTGCACTAGACTTCAAATCAAATACCATGAAATTTGTAAATTTGAGGCTAAGACTTGAATTCAGAATTTGATTTGTGTCTTTGTTAGACTTTCTGTCTGATGCAGAGGGATGGTACCTGATCCTTTTTGTGAAAATGGGAAGTAGGGACTCTGTGTTGATTATTACTGAAACCTCCAATACCACATGCTGTGAAGTTGTTGCCTTTTCCCCCAAAGCCTGGATCTCTAGTGATTAGATCTTACTCAACGCTGTGCTAGAACTTTGAGGGCAAAAAATCTAGTCCAGATATGAGAAGGGGATGAAGAGGAAGTGATCTTCCATAGTTGGTTTGGGCATTTTGAGTGTCTGTAAATGTTCCATGTTGTGAGTGGAATGCTGGAAGGCTTCCTGTCTGGATGTGAGAACCTAGGCTAGTGGTTACCAGATTTCTTAATTTCATGGACAAGTAAAATTTTAAAGCAAAACTGGAGGTTGACCATCTGTGTTTTGCCAGGCAAGAACATTTTTAAAAGTAGCTACTATGTTGCTTTCTCTATCATTTCCTAAAAGAAAGGCCATTTAACCCCCAATCTTAGAATAAAGGACAGTCTTTCAAATTGAATCCATTTAACATTATGAAACACTCACCACATGCCTATAGTTTTTTCCTGTTTTGCTGGAGACCAGTAAAAGAACAGTCACGGACCAGCAGTTGGGAACCATCGAACTAGTTGTCTTGTGTGCTTCTAAAGGCTTACCACCCATGTTCACACCATTTAGCAAAGCTGTAGTAACACTCTCTGAATGCCCACCAAGAGAAAAACAGATCTAACTTCCAGCCACTGGTAGTTCTAGGTCACAGCGTTTTCTCCCATGTGGGACGTTTGTATCCTGTGAGGGTAGCTATTTTTCTCCAATGCTAGGGACGTGTGGCAGAGCTTGGCTCTCTAAGAGGTTCCCTCCATAGCCCTTTATGCTGGTTGCTCCGAAACAGTGATCGATTCTCTGTGAGAATCCTAGGACTCAACATGCTTTACTTTCCTCATCTGATCACCCTCTCCAGGATCCAGCCAAGTAATAATTCTGGGTAGATTTGGTTAACAGAAAAGGAAACAAGTATGAAAGGCCAGACATGAACTCCTGATCCAAAGCAAAGCAGAGACAGATTGAGCTGAGCAAGAGTCAGCCCTCCTTAGTTGTCTTGGGCCATGGTGCTGGGGTCGGGGTGCAGGTCAGGGGCTGAGTAGTTCTGAGTGTGATCTGATCTTCTGCCCCTGCTTCTGGATTTTAGGCAGTGCCTGAGGTCATGGTTTGGAGGTGGGGTGGAGTGGAGCAATGGGAATAAATGAAAGATACTAACAACAAAAGAATACTCCTTATATAGTTATTTGCAACCACCCCTATCCTGGGCAGCTGCTTCCTAAACGTGTCCTTTCCTTGAGCTGAGTGCCCTCCGTGATTTCTTCCCGTCCCTGCGGGAGCACCGTGCAATGTGCCATGTGTCTACCTTCCTACGGAGCTAAATCTTGCCAAGTGTGGCTGTGCTCTCAGGGAAACGCAACTACTGTCGGAAAACTGCTTTTGAGATGTAGTAGCGCTCTCTGGAGAGAGAGTGGCAGCCCTAAAAGATGGCATGCCCGTCCATAATGTTCTTCAGTAATAAAGAGAATGAATGAAGAGCCAGGGAGGAGAGCAAAGGCTCTTTTTTCACTTTGCGTTCTTACCCTCAGAGCACCTGAATCTTCCACAGGTTATGGGGTGACGGTGTGTGTATGTGTGTGTTATAATTAACTGGAGTTTTAAGTAGGGAGAAATGCAGAACAGCTCCTTTTGCACGTCAGCCCTGAAGAGCTCAGAAACATTTAATAAAAACCCTGTGTTCAGTCTTCCGGTGTGGAAGTTGTGACTCCCAGCTTTGTGGCTTGCGAGCTGTGGATCGATGGGCAAATCACAGTTTCAGGTTCTGTGAAACACGGCCAGTACCAACTACCATATAACACTGCGCGGATTAAGAGAGAGAAGGTTGCGAGTGCCAAGCTAACCTGAAGCCTAGGGCTGTGTACTCAGTACACCCTGTTCTCAAATCTGAATATTTTGGGGATTTTTTTCACCTGTCAAGTGAGGGTTATACTAGGTGTTCTCTGTGGTGCTTCCCCTTTCTCTGGTCTGTGGTGCAAGCAGCACAGGAAACAGAGTTATGTTAAAATCTGCCGCTAGAACCAGGTGGTTGTGGGGATGGCTGTATGTGCCTTATGCTTCAGGTATTTACAAAGCACTCTAGTACTTGTGGTTTTATTTGCTCCCACAGTAGCTCTTTGAGGTGGAAGGAACTGATATTCTCACCTCCACTTTACACAGAGGGAAACTGAGGCCTGAGGATCTGAAGTGAAGCTCTAAAGCTCCTGCACAGCTACTCAGCTCTCAGTCCCACTGGATCTTAGCATCTCAGACGCCCAGCCGGTTGCTTTTCTTGTGGGACAGTGTGTGTAGATAGTTTCTCATCACCTGCTCAGTTCAAGTACAGTGGTTTGGGTCCATGAGTGGTGCCATCTCTGAGTTGGCCTTTACCACAGTGGTATTTCATCCCATCAACTCATGCTTCCTAACTTTCTTCTGCAGTGGCTGGTGAAGCGAGCTATAGAAACAAAAGAAGAGATGGGTGACTATATCCGCTCCTACTCTATATCCCAGTTCCAGAAAACCTACAGTCTCCCTGAGGTCGGTAGTCTGCTTTTCTTTTCTTGTCCAACTGAGAACATGGGTGCACACTTAGAAGGAGCAGGAAGGAGCAGAGTAAGCTCAGGCTCCCTGCACTCCCACCACCCTGTGTGGCATCGCTGCCCTACCTGGTCTTGGCGTCTCTGCCTCTACCTGGTCAGCATTGAAACTGGGCCTCCTTGGTCACTAGAACTCTCTCTTTAAATGGGCATTGAGTGGAAAGCCCTACGATTTTGTCCTTTTCTCTCAATTTTTTTACTTGATCCAGAACTTTTATTAAATTACAAAACATGAAAATATTTTTGTACAGTCATATAAAGGTTTTCAAGAGACCACCTGCCTGGAACATTCTTATAGTAACAGTTAAATAATAAGCACAACAACAATAATAGCTAATGGCTATCGAATGCTTACTACATTCCAGTCCCAGCACATCACATGCCTGCTACTCTTTAATCCTCATGACTGCCCCCTGAGATAGGTGTTTTTGTCCCCGTTTACAGATGGAGAAACTGAGGCTTAGGGACTAGGTAACTTGTCTGAGGTTTCAGAGCTTATAAGGATTTGAAATGAGAGCGCTTGTCTTCACCACTACACTCGGTGGCTGTAGGGCTCTGTTTTGGAGCCATCTGCAGAGGCCCTAGCTTTTTCCCTTGCAGAATATATTCCAATTTGTTAGAAAATGGAGACTTCTTCAGGCAAGGTAGTGATGGGAAGTCAATTTATAAGGCAGATTTCTCAGCAGTCCAGTGAGTTTCAGTCTTCACATGGGATTTGTTTATTCCTTGTTTTGTCTTGCAGGATGATGACTTCATAAAGAGAAAAGAAAAGGCCATCAAGACAGTTGTTGATCTCTCAGTAAGTTCTCTTGTCCGTGTTCCTGTGTAAGAGAAGAACATAGGCTCACAGCCTCCAAATTGCCCTTTGATTTAATCACACACTCCCTGCTCCCTGAGGTGTCCATCTGCTGGGATTGCCCAGGCACTGACCTAGGTGTGTGTGTGTGTGTGTGAGGAAAGCCCTGCCTTACGTGCCCAGTATCCAGACCCAGCATTCATGGGTTCAACTTGCCACGGCCACTGCCCAGTGTTTTTCTTAGTTTCAGTTTCAAGGGAGAAGAATTCCAAACTCAAAGCCCTTCCTCGTTTGTCCCAGTGGCAGGTGTAAACTTTGAATAGCTCTAGAGAGGACATGAGGACCTGGAGATGGTAAATTGAGGTTACCACCTCTGTGGTTGCTTTGGAGGAGCAGAGTAGCTTCTGAGCTTTGTGTGGGAAACTCTGAGATGGCCTTTGTCACCATACGCGGTGTGTCTTAACCACTGGGAATCTGTATGCATGTGCCCACTTCTCCAGCACAAGAGGTAGAGAGGAGAGCTTTGGACTCTTTCGGAACACTCTGAGCCAGGGCCCAGCAGAACCTTGTCAGCCCACCCCCACCCCGACCCCCCCAGCCTTCCTGCCTGAGCTGATGGGAATGGAGCCTCAATGCCAAGATGTAAATTCTCTTTCTTCCAAAAATAATGTATAATGTTACTTTGCATGTTTTTTACTTTGTGTGTAGTCTCCCAAGGTGGTTAGTCTGAAAAGAGTAACAATCGTTTGATGATAAAAGACATAAAGTGCTTGTTTAAAACAAAAAAGTCTTTTTCACTTCATAGTTGTAATATGTATTGTTTCCTCAATTTCATTTTGGAAATGGGAGGATTGGAAAGCCTTTAAGATAGTTACACTCTGAAGCCAGATACTGTTTTAAGTTTGATGGTAGTATTAAATAAAAATAAGAGGACATGATATGACAGCAGAGTAATTTTTTTCCTAGTTATGAATTAAATGTTCAGTTTAGAACATCCTTAAAGTGTTTTTTTTTTTTTTTTAAAAAAAAGGGTTAATAGATACAAGGGAGGAAACTCAACCTTAATTTCACAACACAGAAGCAGCCACTTCTGATGCTTGGACATATTTCTTCCATATTTTTAATGTGCATTTTTATAGAATCATACTTTAAATATAATTTTGTAGTTTTTTTCACTTACCAATATAGTCTTTTGTATGCTATTAAAGATTCCTCCTAACAGCATTTGTCATGACAAATAATAACCGATTGATTGGATATGCTGTTGCTTTGCCTTCTTTTAAATGATACTTCATTTCTGGAAAGATACGAGAACCAGATGACAGCATTACCTCTCATACAGGGATCTGGGGAGCTGGGCAGGAGAGGAAGGGAAATTCTCTTTTCCCTATAAACCTTGTAGTATTTGAATTTTATAGTAAGTCTATGTATTACCTATTTGAAAACAGTAAATAAAAAACTTTTTTTAATGCTTAATTGAATGTCTTTCTGAGTAAATCTCACTCTGAGCTCTGGGTAGAGAGTGAGAAAACATTACAGTTCTCGGCCTTCTCACCGAGAATAAAAGGCTAGCGTAGCTGTCAATCATCCTGTCAATGAAACTGGGCCTGGCATCTCTATACCCATTAAACATTTCAGGCTTCTAGAGACACATTATTTCTTCTTCTCATTTGTAATGGAATTTTTAAAGAAAATCCTCTTCTGCTTCATAATGTGACTGCATAGAATTTAAGGAGATAATGACAAAAACCTAGTGCCCAGACATTGTTCTAAGCATTTATATATAACTCATCTAGTCCTCACAACAAACCTATGAAGTAGTAGTATTTTTTTGCAGATGAGGAAACTAAGGCACAGATAGGTTATGTCAGTTGTCCAAGGGCACACTGGTGATGGTGGAGACTGGATGCAAACCCAGTCTTGTAACCACTATGCTGTGAGCTTCTAGATAAAACACTGTTTGCAGCTAATTAGAAAATAATATCAAGATAAAGGAAAATGGAAAAAAATTTGCAAGTCTCTTTGATGATAGTTCAAATTCTTGGTTTATTTCTGTTTTCACGTGTGAACTTACTCCTCAATTGGCCGTCAGTACGTTTGTAGCAGGCATGATAAAGAATTTTTATGGAGGGCCAGAGCTGGCCTTCGGGTTTTGTTTGTTTTCTTCTTTCCCTGTCTACTGAAAATACTGCTCACTTCCATATGCTGTCTTCTTAGGTTTCTTAGCTGGTCTCCATTGCTGTTAACTTCCATCCCTCCCAACCACCACTTCTGCAAGTGCTTTCTTGTAGCCTTGAAATAAGAGTGCCAGAAGCTTGCAGAAGACTCCAGGGCTGCAGTGCATGTCCCTGGCTTATTCTTGTGAATCAGTGTAAGAAATGGAACAGCTTGCTGTTTTTTATTTGTTGTCACTCTCCCCAAGGAAAATCCCTCCCTTAGTAAAGGTAGTGAAATCTTTCCTACATGACCAGGGGTTGTGGCTCTTCGCAAGTCTCAGGTTCTGAAGGGTGTTTTCTTCTCCTTCTAGCCTGTTCCTAGTTCTGCCCTTCAGATGCCTCATCATTGTTTCTTACCTGCTCTTTACTGACAAATCTAGAATCTCAAATTTAAATTGTGAATGGTAAATTAAGGATTAAAATATGGCCAAACATATAGGTGCCTAGTTTCTAGACCCAGCCTCTATTAAAATATGTATGTAGCTGCCATGTATTGACTGAGTGCCTCCTATATGCTTGGCACCTAATTAAGCATTTTTTATACATTACCTCATTAACTCCTCACCAGCACTCAGGGAGTTATATATTATTATTTTCATTTTGTACATCAGGAAGTTGAAGCTTAGAAAGTTAATAAAATCCCTACATAGTTGCAGAGCTAGGAAGAGGCAGCCAGAATTTGATTTTACATCTGACTCCTCAAACACAATAGGTGTTGGTGCTTGTCCAGTTTTCTCCCTCCTCACATGGTCTCTGATTTCTCACATGTTGC